AGCCTGAGAATACAGCAACAAAGGGCTGAAGAAGGCGTCAGGTGCCCGTGCAACCAAAAGGTGTCAAGTGGAGAAAACCAAGTACTGGATGAGATCACTGACCAGCACCTGGCAGCCACCCTGGAGACATCAGCATGATGCAGCAATTTCCATAGACTGGCATAGGAAGAAATTCCTATAAGAACTGGACTAAAAAACTATGGAATCAGAGTCCAAGGTTCTGCTGCCAGCCCACCAGAAGCTTCAGATGTGCATCTGATCAGGTCTTCGCTCCCCACTACCATCACTTGTGTACAGAGTACCTGGCCAGTATTCTGTCACAAGCAACTTCCAGGCTGGTAACTATACACAGAACTTGAATGAATGGATGTATGAATGAATGGTTATATATATATAAGTGTATAAGGGTTAAGTAGTGTTAGGAATAAGTAGTTAAACAATGTTGTTTGCTTCTATCTTTTCTTTATTTTTTTTATTATTATCTTTACAATAAATGTGGCTTTTTGCCTTATCCCCCTCATAAGATCCTGCTTGCTTTTATTGGTACAACAGTCAGAGGTCTGTGCACTTCGGGTGGGGGGAGAGGGGTGGTGCAGAGTGCTTTACTCTGGATTAAGAAACACAGCGAATGTGCACACCATTGCTCTATGAGTCTGTCAGAACAGGCAAGGGCAGGGCAGTTCATGTTACACTTCGAGCAGCAGATGGGAGATGCTGCTTGTCCTAGCACCCAGTGACCAGGTCTCAGGCTACTATTACCTCTGAGCTTAACTACAGCAATGGGCTATACCTTGTGTCACAGCTCAATTCCCCAACCATGCACTTCGAGTGTAGATATAGGTGCCAGCTAGCAGAATAAACTCTGTAAGACCCTGTCTCTAACTCCCACAGACAAACGTGTCCAGTCTCAGTTTCCCTGAGATCCAAGAAAAAAAAATTGCTGCCCTCACCAAGTGTCAATTTGAAAAAAAAAGAAAGAAATAAGCCTTTTTACAGGGAAGAGATCACCTGGGATCCCTTCCCTGAAATAAATTGCCGCTCCCCTCCCCCGCCACCTCTGTTTTGCTTGGAGTTGGGAAAACAAGCAGGGATATCTGCAGAGAACAATGGGGTTCTGCTTCTCTTGGGTTATGAGGTTTCACTTAGGCAGGTAGGACACAAAAATCAACTAATACCAATTAACCAAAACAAAAAGGAAACACTTTTATTATCAAAACAAGACTTGTTGCATGCATAGTAAATGACGGTGTTAAAAGCTATGAATGAAATATACTCAGGGGAAATCCCTGGGTTGTAATCCTTACTTACAAAAGAGAAAAACAATCAACCAGCTGAGACATTATTTCCAAACCCCCAAACAAGGCAAACAATAAAACCTGATGGACTATCTAAACTTTTCCCTTACACATTTCAAGGAGTCTGTTCCTAGGAGAGTCCTTCTCTCCCTCTACCTGGGAAAAAACTGCTGCTTGCTCAAAACAAAGGGAAAAAACCCTCCTTTGAAATTCCTTATCTGTATTTCATTGGCTGAATGCCCAAAGCTCCCTCCCTCAGGTGCATCTCCAAATTAGCTTAGCCCTTTCTTTGCTCTCCAGGTAAGTCAGACTTCTTTGCAGATCCTATTCATGACACCTTGGCGTGGAGCCTTTGGCACCTATGAAACACCAGTCACTACCAAACTCCGCAGCCTAGCTCCTCAGTTTCACTCCTAGTTACCCCTGAGACCTGCCATTAAATAGTTCGGCTAATGGGGTGGAGATTATGCGTGTAAAATTTGCAGATGACACCAAGCTGGGAGGGATTGCTAGCACTTTGGCTAACAGTGTTAGAATTCAAAACAACCTTGAGTAATTAGAGAAGTGGTTTGTCACCAACAAGAAGAAATTCAATAGCAAATGTTAAGTACTACACTCAGGGAAGGAAAAAGAGTCTCAGGTACAAAATGAGGAACAACTGGCAAGATGAGCACTGCTGAAAAGGAACAAACATTTAATAGAGCCAATGTGATGCAGTTGCAACAGAAGCTAATATAATTTGGGGGTGTATTAATAGAAGTGTCATATGTAAGACACAGGAGACAGCTGTCCTGCTCTGCATTGTGCAAAGAGACCTTAGCTGGAGTGGTAAGGTACAGTTCTCAGTGTCACCCTTTAAAACAATGTGAACAAATTGGAGAGTTCAGAGGAGAGTAATAAAACTGATAAAAGGGCTAGAAACCTGCTTTACAAGGAAAAGTTAAAAAAAAACCTATATACATTTTGTCTTGAGAAAACCCTGAGGAGGGACCTGATAAATATGTTAAGGGTGGCAGTGCAGAATGATGTTGATTAATTATTCTCCGCACTATCTGCACACTACTGCTAGGACATTGGAATTGCTCATTCATGAACATAAATTCAATATAGATAGAAGATAGTTTAACCCTAACCCTAAGCACTCAAACCTGATGGGATGATTTGCAGAGAAGAGCAACAAAAATGATTAAAGGTCTAGAGAATATGACCTATGAGGGGAGGCTGAAAGAATTGGGTCTGGTTTAGTTTAGAAAAGAGAAGACAGAGTTGACATGAAAGCAGTTTTTAGGT